ATCACTTGTTTTGGGGTGATTCGGTGAAATGGGGGAATGGACGATTAATATAAGGTCCTAGCATGATACCTCACAGTACAGTTCTCCTTCAAGTAGTTAGTCCCCAGACCCACAACCCTTTCACTCAAGACCGTACTCCCTTCTCACCATTCGTTTTATGTTCAATTCGGGAGCTGTCACGGTTCAAGGGTTTCACGTAAACCCGCGAGAGATGTGCATGTCCCCTCTGACATAGTGTGTTAGCTAGTTATGTTGCACCGTTTCTTCGCTGGTAGATTTTCTTTCTAATCTGTTTTTTTATAAAATCAATCGGAAAACTTTCGTCAGAAAAATCAAACTCACCGTTCGGGATGCTTGTGCAAGTTTTTGGAATTTTCCTTCCTGTTTTTCTCTCGTCATTGTGTTATATAAAGCGTGAGTTACACTTAACTGACTGAATGCGAGAACCAAGATATAGATAATGTTGTGAGGTACTACTCACTTTTGTGAGTAGTTTGTTTGGTGTGCATGAAGAGGTGGTTGTTGGATTCTCACAGCATCTGGGAGCAGGTGAAAAAATTTACTGTTTTAACTACGAAAGAGATGAAGAGACTGCCACCGGTTGAGAAACTCGCTTGAAAACACGAACCAACTGTTGCCGTTTAAATGCTTCGTTCTATATCATCCTATTCACCCTCAATCGATGTTGTTCTTCCGATAAACAACTCTTTTCAGTCCGGCGGTTCTGATGTGTCTATCCATCTTTCTTTTCTGTTAAGATAAAGCATGTTTGTTCGGTTGGTGCCTCACTGATGTATCCCGAGTGGGTGCAATTCCATTTTGTTCTGTCTATTTAATCACACCAGTCAATCAAAGATGCACATTGTTCTGTCTGCTCTCGAGTGGTTCTGGTATGGCGCTTTCGTGACCGAAATCAGGAACAACAATTTAGAAATTCGTGCGGTATCCGATTGAATTCGTTTTCTGGTTTTCCTAATGGTGTGATGAGAAATCATTGAACAGCGAATTGAATTAACGAATACGGAGATCGCATTAGTTCGTCTTGGCATCATAATCAAATTAGCACCTAAATCTGGTTTTCATTTCTCCTCTTTCTCATTTAGAATTGTATCCAATTGTTCAACGTCGTAGATAGTTGAAAGGAACTGACATCAAACCATGCTTATCAAGGCTTCTTGGATGCAATCATTAATCAGAATAAGCTCTCACGTTGCGTCCAAGGCATTTCTTTGCTCTATTGATGTTTCAGGCGCAGTTTCGCAATGTGATTGATGCATTGTGTGTGCTTTTGTCAGATCTTTAATCACTTCGTTCATCTATACAACGGACTGTAATTAGTTCGTATCTCCCATTGATTCTCGATCGACGCTGCTACTCCGTCTTCGTTTTGGTTTGCCTCTGCCTACTTTTCTCCCTTATTTCTCCTGGTCTACTCTCGTTTATCACATAGCGCGATCACTAGCATGATAATCAAAAATGCTAAGCCAGCGCCACCTCTATTTCCGGCGCTCATTGTATTCAAACTTTTATCTGAGATGTTCATTTACCGTGCTGTTCTGCTTTCTGACCATACATTCGCCACGGTTATACTTAGGGTCAAAAGTTCGTGTTGGGTGTGCCATCTTCATTGTTACATGTGCTTGAGTGTTTAATCTACCCCGTTAGGTTCAGTTTTCACCTTACCCGATCGCAATATTTGGATCCAATGTTGTTTATCAGTCACTGGTAGATGGTGTACAAAACCGAATTTCATCCATCCAACTTGTTTAGTTTGAGTTGCGTTCAAATCCATGGATTGCATTTTGCATACCGTACCGTGAATAGTTAACTATTTTATCCGATAGTGCGTTTGTCANCGTTTGTCAACCAAATATCGGGAGTTTCTGACTACAGTTTTACCAGTTTTATTTTGAACGTGTCTATGCACACAAAAGAAGTCAGAGGACCTTTCTCTCTTACCCAATGGGGCAGTTTTTGCGATATTTCATCGTTTAAGATAACCAATTCCTCAGTATTGAAGTGAAATATGTTTGTATGGTTGTTTCCTGAACCCTCTCTTTCCAGCCTCCTTTAGGTTGGAATAGGGGGGAAATTTTGATTTGTTTCTTTTATGATTAGCAGAAATTTGCGTTCATCCACCAATGGACTATTTATATATTGTTCATCACTTTTCCCATTTCCTAGCCCCTTTTACGTCAAGTTATTCTTCATGGTTGTTTTGCTCGACACGTCACTTCAACTCCGTTTGGATTTGTCGATCCAATCCGATGCCCGCTCTGGCTCCGTTTGGCTACAGATCGTGGTCTGGCCATCTCGGTGGCACATGCGTTGTCTATTGCCGCGTCCAATGTGCTCTCACGAAGTCAGCCACCACATCGAAGTGAAGTTCCGCCAACACTGGACACTTCATTTGACGACACAGTGGATCGGAGTTTCTTGTATCTACCCTATCCTACCCCCGGCCAGTGGTACTTGAGCTTGTACGCTGAGTGTTATCCAGTGGACGAGTACGTGTTATATCGTTTCATTATTTCCATTCAGTCGGTTTTATGCTATTTGTTTGCTTATCTTTCCTGGGGCTTACAAAAAGTAGTATATACATATATTAGGTTATTAAGAGAGAGGAAATGAGGGTAACTAAATTTGTTATGCTGCTTAGTTCAATTGGGATCTACAGAGATAGTGGAACTTCATAATACTGCTACTGCATTGGTTCTTTGTTTTCTCAGTTTTTTGTCGTTTCCCATGAGGTCTTATTTCTCAATAATGCTTTCTCCCGCGTTTTGGATGGTGCAGTCCGAGAACACGTCCCAGATGTATTCGCTGCCTGGGTTCCGTTTTTATAACAGCTTCTACGTTCAATTCCATGATCCTGACCAGCATGCTTTAACCCTGCCAACTGTAAATTCGCATCTGCTCATTTCTCCATCAGCTTTTATTCTTTTTCGTATACCTCATGTAAATGGGCCCGAGTATGCTTGCATTTCACCTGAGTTCCCTTTCTCATTTCACTTTGCCTCCAGCTTGTGTTGGCATTTGATAATCACCTATGGCTTAATTTTGCCTTCTTGCTTCTCCAGTCTTTCCTCTCAGGTTTCGAATGCTTTGTCCAAATGAATCCCTGTTCTCTTTTTGCCTCGAGTAGCCCGAATGGCACACATCATCTCTCGCACTGCGATTGACGATGAGTTGCTATTTGAACAGGCAAGTCAGAAAACAAACTGCTAGAGGAATTCCTTTCGTATACTCTCATCGGTCGCGTACGTATAACAATCACACACGCACACGATTAATACTAAATATATTTCTTAATTCGCTTCATTTGTCTACCTTGTTTAATGTTATGCGTACGCGACCGATGAGAGTATATGAAAGGAATTCCTCTCGCAGTGTTTGTCTTCTGACATGCCTGTTCAAATTCGTTACGGGATCCAAATGTTTTAGTTGCTGTTTGATCAAGGGAAAGATCAGCACTACCACCAACAATCAATTAAACGACAGAAAAGAAACCGCATTTGCTTGTGTTTTTCTTAACAAAGTCCTACCCACCGACGGCATATTTTGGTTGACAATGTAGAAAAACAGTTTATAATGTGGTAATTGTTTCGTTGTTTGCGGAACACACAGTCGCGTCCTGGTTATTTGCATCCTGTATTCATCAGGAAGCATACAGATTCACGTAATTCCTAATTACGGACTTTTATAACTCGCTGATGGAAATTTGCAACCCTGAACAGATGTGATTTTCGTTAACGAATCCAACGGGTTCTCAGTCGAACGACAGTAATTCTGTGCTCAGTCTACCACGAATTTGTCATAGAAAGTTCGTCCTGTCAATAGTAAGCAGTTTTGTTTTCTCACGCTTCCTGACCATCTTCGTCAAAACTCCATTTGCACCTGGTTTCTTTCTTTTGGTCACTGTTGTTCCCAATTGCATTCAAAAATCAACACGTCTCAAAAGCGAAGCAGTTTGTAGTCAGTTTGACTACCTTGAGTTCTGTATCCTCATGTCAGCCTTCACTCATTCCAACATTCCCTTTTTTTTACAGTACTGTCTGGCTGATATTTCGAGTTGTTACAATTGGTTGAACCATTAGGTTACAGGTTCAGGTTGATACTGCTTAGAATGGCAGTCTAACAAGGAAAGTAATAGAAAAAATAGACTAATTTCGCTGCTTGGGTAACTACACCCACGCGGTCGGATGAAGTGTAGTCACACATGTAGAAGCCTAATTAATGTTTGACGCTACGACACTTCGTTGTTCATACAGGATCGAGTGTATATATAGCAACCAGTCGCCAACGCTGCTACATAATGTAGACACTTGATCGTTACAAGCGAAGGTTGAATGCAGGATATCGGTTTTCGAAAATTGTGGTCAATGCGAGTCTTATGGAGCAACCGGCGAGGCACTGCTGAGATTAGATAGATAACACTTGGTGCTCCCAGTCACTTACTGATTGGGTTGGTTTACCTATGCTACGGAATAGGCTTTCTGATCGTGCGGTGCTTGTCGAGGTAGGGTGGTCGAACTAAGAACTGGTTTCGCATCTCATGACCAACCTAATGGACGGTCACATGCCGCCTTAGCGTCATGTACCT